ATGTAAGCATTTCATAATACCTTAAACTTTCAGATTCAACTAACACCTCCGAATGCATATTTAAATATGCTGAAAGTCATGAAAACCAAAGCTGAATCATAAATAGGATTGCACAATATTGAGAAAATATTCAATGTTGTTGAGTATTTCGATAACTATATATCTCTTGCTGTAACATTTACCTAGAGAACTTTTTATTTTTTTGCTGTAATTAAAAATATTTTATGATCATACTAAAATGACAAAGTAATTGATTTTTATTTTCAAACTACAAAAAAAAAAAAAGTCTGTAGGTCCACCTTTGGGCCACTTAAGCCAATAGTAGAACAGCACCTCTTAGGGGAAGTGGTAGTTAAGATAGTAATACCACATCTAATTGGTCAAATTTGGATAAACAACTTATGCATTTAACACAAATGCTTGAGTTATAAATGAAATGTAATTTATTAGACTTCTGTGCTTTACAAATATTGCATATGCTATCATCACAATAACTATATATTGTACAGCCTAATTCTAAATATGCAATGTAATGAATATAAAAGTTTCTGTTTTCTTTCATTAGCAGGACGAATAGAAGCATCAGATATTGTTGCTTGTGAGTGGTGCACTGTGCCACGGCTCCCGGCCCTTTTTCTGCAGACCACGTATGAAGCACGTCTTCATCTGCAGGTCCAGCTTGACATGCTTGAAGATGATTCAGAGCACTTTCAGAACAAGAGTGAGCCGCTATTGTGGAATGGTTCATGGTGAGATTTGTTCTTGCTTGATTTGAGAGTTGGATTATGTAAAATGGTTTCTATTGTCCCCTCAGATGAAAAGGAAACTTGTATCGTCCTCATCTTTGAGAATGAGCTCACGCTCCCAGAGCAAATCATACTTGAGGACATATTTACAGAAATCGGCATGCGTCATAACATCAGTGGCTTTCTTGTTAAGTTGCCATTTGAAGAAGCCAATAACAAACTGAAGGCGCAGATCTCTGCTCAAAAACAGGTGGGTTAATCATTTACTCACTATTATGACGTTCAGTTCCTTTTTTATTTTAGAAAGTCATATGGCTACAAGTGAACTTGTGTAAGCCATTCATAGATCAAATACATGTTCATTTATTGGTGAGTAATGGGACAATTGTTTTTTTTTTTTTTTTTAATTCTTAATATGACTGTCAGTTTTTATATATACGGTCTAAAAATGACTGTGATTGTCTTTAGATTGCTATGCTTCATCTCGAAGAGGATGAACTTCCTGCCTCTAGTCAGGTTTCTTAAACTTTATATTTCCTTTCTTTGCCTTCCCCCTTGTTTGTTCTTGCACTTAATTTTATCTTCTTTTTACTAGACATTTACTTTTACTTTCATTTGATCATCAGATTCTGCTTCTGTCATTTTATTTACTACTTCACTTTACCTTTTCATTATTTTTTTGTTTTTTTTTCATAATTTTTTTTGTTCCCTTTTTAAATAATCTTTTCTTTATTCATTTCTTCACGTTTTAACTTTCTCCTTTTTTACTTTAATTCCTGTCATTTTGTAATTAAATTTAAAAATATACATTTTCTTTTGCATTTCCTCAATTTACATCCTTGTCTTTTTTTTTAAATTCAATTTTATTTATTCAGTTTTTTTTTATTTACCTCCCTTTCCTTTTTTTTGGTGTCATTTAACTGAAAATGCACGTCTTTTGACTTCCTTTTCTTTTCCTTCCTTTTTTAAAGAACATTCTCTACTTTCCTATAACCATTACTACTTTATCCTTCCTCTTTCCTTTTTTTTCTAAATTTCTATGTTGATTTTCCACTTTATTTGTATTTGCATTTACATTTACATGAATTACTTTTCCCAGTGACGGGCAGCGCTGCGTAAAACTTGTGCTGGATAAGTTAGTGGTTCATTTTGCTGTGGCGACCCCTGATTAATAAACGTTATTAGGTTGTTCGTTTTTTTTTACTGAGCGTAAATTCAAACCGTTTTCCTGATGACGTTTGACGGTTGCCAAATTAGTGAAATAAATTACCAAACTACCTAATACTATGTCCATTATTCCACACTTCATTTTAACAGTTGAATAAGTGCATCATCCGGGTATTTAAAGTGCGCTTATTCTGTTTAGAGTTTTCAGTGTGAACGCACTACTTACACTATACTACAAAATAGCATAGAATAGGGCATAAGTATGCGAATTGGGTGGCATTTATACTGTATAGAGCATACTTTTCTAACGACCGAGTAGTACATTTAGATTCAAATGCAGTACCTACCTACTACGTAATGGGCAATTTCAGACTTAGCCATTTTCTTTCACTTCCATTTTACTTGCCTTATTTGCCTTGGTCTTTATTTCCTTCTGTCATTTTTCATTTGAGTTTCCTTTCCTGTTTAAAAAAAAATAGTGTACCTGCTCCTTTACTATCCATTTCCTATCCTAATTTTCATTTCCTTTTTACTGTACTTTTTTCTTTTCGAAAGTTGAGTCTGTGAGCAACAAAAGCAAAAAAAAAAGTGCCTCCAGCATCATTTTCAGTTGTTTTCCTCTTTCTCTCAATGTTCAGCGAGCCTTGATGCCATTTCCACCTTCTCCTGATGCTCCCCGACATGAAATTGCAACCCTCAGCATCTCAGACAGTGATGAGAATGATTTGATGGAGGGCCATTCATCACCTGTACAGGATCTCAAAAAGTCAGTTCACAGACCTAAATGAATGATCAAGTGTTGCGATATTAGATCTAGAAAACCTCATCTCTCTATGTTTTTGCAGACTGCTCGTGTATCCCCCTTCTCCAGCAAAGGGTGGTATAACTGTCACGGAAGAAGACTTTTACTGCCTTGATGAAGGGGAATTTTTAAACGATGTGATAGTAGATTTCTATCTAAGGTTAGATTTGTAGAAGTGGCTATATATTTTAGTCTGTTGTTTCTGTAATGACATGCATGTTTTATAATGAGCAGGTATTTGGTCTGCAAGCAGCAGGAAAAAAAGGATACTACCCAGTACCATGTGTTCAGCTCTTTCTTCTTCAAGCACCTCACTCAGGGAAATCAAAAAAGGCATTCAGGAGCTACAAGTTTATCGTATGTATAAAATATAGACTTTAACAAATGTATTTTAACTATGATTAAATTAACTATGTTAACGCTGTTCCGCAGCCCTCAAGAGTGTCGACACGACAGGGTGAAAACTTGGACCAGGAATGTAAACCTTTTTGAGAAGGACTTTGTGTTTGTCCCCATTAATCAAATGTGAGTCTTTTCACTAAGCTACACATCTTGGATTTCTGGCTGGGGTATGCAGTATTTGCGATCTATAATTCTGTAATTTCTTTTGTGTTTCCATCCTGTTTCAATTCACTAAAAAATATGCTAGGTTACACTCAATTTCTTTGTTATCCCAACACAAGTCCATTAAGTTAACTTAACTGTTTTTACAAACTTAAGTGAATTAAACTTAAGTGGATTGAACCCCCCCCCCCCCCCCCCCCCCCATAAATTTTATTGCTTCAACTTATTTAAAAAGGGTTATTTAAACAAGAAGTAGCAAAAGTAATTGTTTTGAGTGATCCATGAGACCTTCGTCTATCTTTAGGGTAAAAATTAATTAATATATTTTAGATGGGCTCTCTCCCGTTAGCAGGGCAAGAGGGGAGTTTGAGCTCGATGAACTCCCAAAGCTTATTTCTGGCTAATGACAGATAAAAAGATGGCTAGGGAGAGATATAAGGATTACTAAGAGTTCAACTATGATGCCAATTAAGAATGTTCAATTTTCTTAGATTGCATGTTTTTGGACTGTGGGAGGAACCCGGGGGAAACCCACGCGAGCACAGGGAGAACTCCGCACAGAAATGTTGACTGGTTTATTTGGGACTTTACCTGTGACATTCTTGCTGTGAGGCAACAGTGCTAATCACTGGGCTGCTGTGTCACCCAATCTAGAAAAAAAGGGTTGGGAGGGAGATTCTTCAAGACAAATATACTTGGGTAAGAAACTCTGGTTATTTATCGTGAGTTAGGAATCGTCTGATTGGTGAATCATGCGTTAGCTAATGTGAGACTAGCCATGGAAAATCATAAGCATGTGATCCAATTGAAAATAGTTTATGAATAAATTTCAGTTGTTGAGAGGCATTAAAACCCAGGAACTCAGGACATAGCTAAACTGTAATCAAACAAAGTTCCAAAAACACTCGTGCTCAAAAAACAGAAATATGACTTTGTTCATCTATGCCAGAGATGCCCAAACTAGGTCCCACGGGCCAAAATTGGCCCCTTGTATCCTTTGATTTGGCCTGTCAGATAAAAAATGCCTTTGATAGAGATTCTCTTTTTATTTTAATGTAACTGATTGTTTGTTTTTGATTTATTGTTGAGCTACAAAAAAAGCAAACTGATTAAATGTTGCAAATGAATCAGATTTTTTGTCACTTAACACATAAGGGAGAAGGCAGAAGACATCAGTGTGCTAATCAAGGCAAAGGCAGGTTCAGCATGACTGGTGTATTCGGCATTGAGCTCCATTGTTTTATAAATTGATTTTTTTTAATGGTTTTATTGTAATAATTTTATTAAAATAATATACATTTTCAACTAATTTTAATGCATTAGTACATACGGTAAAAGTAATTGTTTCTATTTATTTTGAAGTATCATAAAATGAATTGGGAAATTACCCATGGCAACTTTAATGTTATTCAGTTTGCTATATTTACTTTCTCAATCAAGCTTAGATTTTGGCCCATCATAGGAAAAAGTTTGGGCACTCCTAGTCTAGACCTTCCGCGTTAGGTCAGAGTGCATTTACAAAATGACATTGCGCTGCTGATTCTAATGGTTTGAGTAAATAATTAAACTGTAACTAAACAGGTCTACTAATTCTTCAAAAAAAAAACAATATTGAGATAATTATATATCACACACTACTTATTTATTTGTCTTTATTCATTATTTAGTGTTCTTGCAAACATCTAGGTTGTGTAGGCTAGGCTTAATGAAGAGCATGCTTAATGAGAGCCCCTTGTGTACAATGTCTCCTCAGGTCTCACTGGTACCTTGCTGTCATCTGCTTCCCTGGCCAGATTTCACAGACCAGTGGTTTGGATCTTTCCCTCAATGAGCGAAGACATTCAAGGCAGTATCTTTGTGCTCCATCTCCACCCAATCCAATGTCCCTCTTTTACTCTCCTGAATCCTCAAAGCAGCTCTCCAGATGGAGCCAATCCATAGGTAATTTAGAAAACCACTCCGGTGCCAGTTCAACACGATAGCGTACTGTAGATAAAAGACAAAATCTGTGAGATTCATTATTTCCCACCAGCTGTGAGGGATGATTTGACTATTTTAAACTTTCATTTGGGAAAAGTTGAATTTTCGGCAGTCATTACTCCTAGTCTTTGTCATATGATTTTTCAGGGATGATTTTAAAGAGATGGGACACCCAAAAATGACTCACTAAAGTTATTCCAAGCCTGTGTAATTAGCTCCTTCTGATGAACACTAAAATATATTTAAAAGTTGTTAACCATACAGTTATATAAGAGATTCCACAAAGCAATGAAGTAATAACTGAGCACGGTGTGCATGATCCTCTCAAAGAGTCTCATTAACATGAACACTTCCGAATTAAAGGAGATAAAGCACATTTTTTAATATACTCTTATGATACTGATTTGATTCTCCAAGAAACATTTCTTAAATCTCATTGTTAGAAGCAATTGTGCTGCTTAATATATTTATAGTGGATGATTAATCTTTCTTTCTGTAATTAAGCCACAGCATGCCTCATTATGTCTATTTTCTCCCCCTTAGATGACTTGGACCAGAGCTTTGAAATACTTTCAGATGACGAGGCTGAGGATGACTTGCAGGTAATGTGAGTTGATCTCTTTCTAGATCTTAAAAAAAATGTAAGTATCAACCTTTTTTTCTGAATTACAGGTGGTGACAAACAGATCGGTGCTAAACCGTGGCAGTGATGTGTCTAAAAAGTGAGTCAAGAACATTTTCCTCTTCCTCCAGTGCCTTTAATCGTCACCAGATGGCAGTAACAGGTCGAGGAAATGCCTCATTGTTAAAACTCTGTGTTTGTAGGCCATGTATCCTCATCATGGACTCCCTCACCTCCAGTGGAAGATCATCAGAGGTGCAGATACTCCAACAGTAATTATCTTCTTCTGTTTCAAGTGCTTGCTTTTATTTTTGCACCTGCACTCTAATAGCAGGCAGTCGTTTCTATTGTGCTCCCCGCATGCTGCATTAGGCAGCAGAGGTCACCAATTAGCGCCTGTTTCCAATGTCTTCTCAAGGGGGACATTTTGTTGGTTGGAAAGCCAAGTCTGGCACTGGACCATGTTCAGATCTCAGTGGTAATGTTTGTGCGCTTGATGGAATAGTTTGTTTACATCAATTCCAAGGACGCATAGTTGACGTACAAATCTGGTTAAATTACCAGTGTTGCATTTAAAATGGCAGAATACATAATGTTTAACACACTGGCTCACTGGTGACTTCTCCCAAAGCGAGTTCCCCCTAGGTACAAGATTAGGCAGTCTGCCTTGCCTTCAATCTCACTATTACAGAGCTTGTCCACTAAACTGGTTGGAAAGGTGAAAAATCACTATTATTTGGCATTTAAAGGTGATATGGTTAAAGATTTAACATCTGTGTAGCTTTGACCCCTACTTAAATAATAGCTCAAGCATATAGTTTAATCCTAAATTGTGTATTAATAAAGTTTTTTTTTTTTTGGAAAGAATGTGCACAGGGCATTGGAAAACAAGGAGATCTGTTTGAAAATGGTTGCTTGAAATCATTTGAACGTTTACAACAGCAGTGCGATATACCTAGATCCCAGTTTTTCCGATATTTACAGTTAAGACATTTACTCTCTATAACTTTTGCTTCTATTGCATCGCTTCCTGTGTCAGCAGATGCTCGCTGTATGATATTATCAATATATGGATTGGGCCATGGAGCATCCATATACTACTCCTGGTTGATTTAAAGTCTCGGTGATGGAACTTTACAGGCTCTTAGGAAAATATGGGAGAGAGATTTGAATCTGACATTTGATGACGAAGAGTGGCATGGAATTTTAAGTGAAGTTTATTTACAAACTAATTTCGAGAGGATCATGTGCTTATAGGTCCTGCATTATTCAATTTATGATTAACCAATCAGACTATTCCTAAGCCACTATAAATACCCTAAGTTCCATATAACAGCCATCTTCATTTTCAAGAATTCCCCCTTCCACTTCTACTCCTCCTTTTCCTAGATGGGTGGCACGGTAGCCTAGTGGTTAGCATTGTAGCATTGTTAACACTTTAACGTCGTAGTTAGGGTTTAGTTTGGGTTGGGTTTATTAATAGGGTAAAATGTTGATTCTTTACAAAGTTGTATTCTGTATTCCATTGTGAAGTTTGCCTGAGAATCAATGAAACTGTTAATCTTTAAAAGTGTTAATACAATACAATATTTATTTATAAAGCGCATTTAAAAAAAAAAAAAAAAAAACACTGAAGTTGACAATGCATTCTCACGCACACAAATGAAACTCAACACAAGGCAATGTTGTCATTCTAGTCACTTTATTTTTGATTCCTTTAAATCTAAGGTACTTGCAAGAGGAATGGAGGGTGAAAATGGGCTCTCAACAGAGTTTTGAAAAGATGCATGGATGGAGTCCCATCGTCCCAAAGCAGGATAACTATACAGACTGCGGTATCTACCTGCTGCAGTATGTGGAGAGCTTCCTGAAGGTATTTTACAATGGGGGAATCTAATTATTGTCTGTTTTGTTGTAAATGGTTACATATTTCAACGTTGTTGTTGCTTTTGGTTTTGTGTGTGCGCTTTTGTGTGTGTTTGTGTGTTTTTGTTTATTCAGGACCCACCTCAAGCTTTTCATCACAACATGGACTTGAAAGGCTGGTTTTCACAAAGAACAGTAAAAAGGAAGAGGTTGCAAATCAAAGAGCTCATTCTCAAACTACACAGACAACAATAAGATTTTTTTTTTCATCTCCAACTTATTATTACCACCTGTAATTCAGAAATAGGGTTATTCTTTACTGTATTTTTGAAAGCTAGAAGGTTAACTCGCATTACCTGCATGTCATTCTCCGCCTTGTCATCTGAAAGTATGCAGAAGCTCTTGTCTAAGTCATCTAAGAGGGACAAAATAAGGCATACTGTGGCTTTAATTACTGTAAAAGATTAATAATCTCCTAGAAATGTTTTAAGCAGCAGAACTGTTTCTCACAATGAAATTAGGAAATGTTTCTTGGAGAACCAAATCAGTATATTAGAGATTCACCCAAAAATGAACTGTCATCTTTGACTGCCTTGGTATCCCAGCTGTACTCTCCGTATTATACAGTTATTATTTATTATTATTATTTAAACTCTTGCTGATTTTTCTTGCTGCTTTAAATGATTCATATAAAAATGAATTTAGAAAAATGAGTTCTTTGCTTTGTAAATGGATGATTTGTTGTTGAAAGCAATAAAAGTAATATCTATTAATAGAATGTATTAAAATAACTAGATGCTGAAATCACATCTGAGTTTTATTTATTTTATTTTTATTTCAATTTTTTTGGTGAAAACTCATTTAAACATTTTTGACATTTAGATTTAAAAGTGCAGTATTTCTTCTCCTATAAGGAAGTGCAAAAAGTTCTGCAGGTTTCTTCAAACACCTTTGTTCTGGTGTCCCCTTGGTCAGCCAAACGGTGAGTACAGTGTAAAACTCGGACCATTGGTCCATTGGACCGAGGTGGGTTGTTAGCCCCACAATAATGCTCAACCCCCAACCTGGAGGACCAGGACATACACGCATACACTACAAACAATTTAGCTTACCCAATTCACCTATAGTGCATCTCTTTGGGCTTGTGGGGGAAATCGGAGCATGTGGAGGAAACCCATGCCAACACGGGGTGAACATGCAAACTCCACAAAGAAATGACAATGAAACCAGCGACCTTCTTGCTGTGAGTGCTAACCACTGAGCCACCATGACACCCCTCTTAAAATGTATTGCATTTCAAAAACTTAAGTTTTAGACTTTGAAAAGACTGAAATTCACTGAAGAATTGTGTTGTAGGTCTTAAATGCTTTTGAACAGGTCTTAATTTTGCTTTTGTCCAAGTAAAGCTACTCAATTAATCCTGTATAAAATTTCATTATTAATGTTCTTAAAAAGTCTTTAATTTTACATAATGAAACCTGCAGAAACCCAGTGAAAACCTAGTAACCATTACCTTCCACAAATTTAGTTTTTCCTACTATGAAAGTCAACGCTTACCCGTATCTAACATTCTTATAAATATCTGCTTTTGTGTTTAACAGTGAAATAAAGAAACACTTGAATTACTTGAGGGTGAGTAAATACTGAGTAAAGTTTAATTTTAGAGCGAACATTAAGGAAGATTCATGTAAACGAATAGTTGTCATGGCATATTAGAAATTATATATATATATATATATATATATATATATATATATATATATATATATATATATATATATATATATATATATATATATATTACTACTGCCTACAGTATAAATGGGAGAAGTCACAGGGAGCAATATGGCAAAATAAATCCTGTCTTCTAAACAAAAAAAACAAACCACAATCAGATTGTGTTGATTGTTGCTACAGCTGTTGTTCTAAAATCTTAAAAAACGTTAATGTTCTAAGATGTGCAATTAGAAGTAATACTACATTTAAATGCTTTTTTTGAGCATAAAAAAATAACATTTGTCAGTCTTTGTTATTTTAATGTACTCTGCTCAAATAAGAAAACGATGTATGGCAGTCTTATGACTTCCAAATACGAACAGGTACAACATGATCAAAATAGCTGAAATGGACCTTTTTCTTGGACATTTGTTGAAATTAAGATCTCAAGTATGCGTAAAATGAATAAAATTCAAAAGTGTGTCTTATGCATATTCGAAATGCATTTGTTCCTCCAGACTCGCTTCTGTCTCTGCTGGAGGACAGATATTTTTTTTCGGCCGTTCATGCAGATGATCAGATTGGCGTCCTGCACGATAAAGACAGATGACCGTCTGCCTCCCAGTACTCAAAATGAAATGCTTGATGTATTTCTGTGTTCCACCCTGGGCAAGGATTGTCGGACGGTAATGCACCACCTGATCTCTTTGTACATCAGAGTTATGAGATTCTAGACAAAGGGAAGCAAATACAGAATGTGAGAATTGTTCATTTTTAGGCCAGATGCAGCAGGGAAAAACTGCTATTTTATACACCGGTCGATTTAGAGATTTTGAACTTTTTCATTAAGTGTTTTTATATTCAGTGAAGTAGAAAGAAAACATCTAACATATACGCTTAAATTGTTCTTTTATTGCACTTTATCTCTTTGTGTCTTTGGATTTCAATTACTATACTTTTAATGAGATTTTTCTGGTGCACTGAGCCTTAAATCTCTGCTTCAGGGTTTTATTAATATCTCTATTCTGAAGGTTCTTAGAGAAGGATTTGTTCAAATATACTTAAATTTACTATAAAACACATTTTATACTTTTTATTTATTTATTTATTTTTTTCTAAATTAAGGAGTAATTGAGATTCCCAAACTCTTATTTAGGACATTTGTCGTCTTATAATTTAGACTTTTGTTGCTTTAATTTTTACTTAATATGTTCATGTAAAAATTTTTGTGACTTTTTGGCATTGTTATTTATTTATTTTTTATTTCTTTTATTTTTTTGCATAAATATGGGTTACAAGTATTTCGTTAATTTTTACAAATAATTTAATTGGGTCTAGTTTATTTCATATTTGTAATAGTTAACGTACATTTTTACTTCATCACTATTAGGCGTCATTTTTAACTAATTTCTGTTAAAATAAATTACGAATTCATACTTTTTTTAAACACAATTACTTGTCAATAGACTTTTTGCCATAATTCATGTTTCTATTTCATAAATCAGTCTGTCTGTCATAATTAACACAAAAAAGTGTTCTAGTAAACAACAACGATTCTTGTTCTTGGGCAACACAAAAGTATTAGCCCTCAAAACTAATTCTTTTTCAAATATTTCCAAAAGGATATTTACCTAATTAAAAACATTTTCACAATATTTTCTATTACACTTTTAGATTTTTTTTCTTTTAGTTTGGCTGAATTAGAAGCAGTTTAAAAAATAAAAAATAATAAAAATAATAATATTAAGATTTATTTCTCTTAATTGGCTACAGAACATTTCACTGTTATCCAATGACTTGCCTAATTAAGTCTATGAATTGCAATGTAATCTGAAATATGAGTATCTTATGAAATAACAAGTAAAATATTATATATGTGTTTTTAGAAATTAGTTATTAAAACTATTATGTTTAAAATGTTGAAAAAATCTGTCCTATAAACAGCCTTTACTATTTGAAATTAGAGCTAACAATTTTGTCTTAATGTGTAGGTTGTGTTTGTTAACACTTCTAGATGTGACTTGATCAAAGGTTCAGGTTTTTGTACTAGAAATATATGTAAATTCGTCCATATAATTAAACATTCTTATTTTCACATTTAAACATGCCATTTTAACAGACCTGCAATATGAGAAATGTTCGGTGTGTACTTTTATTATTATATTATTACCCATTCATCTGTGAAGTCTATATTATATTGGCTGGCCAAACTGAATATGTGTGCTAAGATGCAGTAGTTACAGCCTTTAAAGGGTTAATGTGCGTAATATAGTGAAATATGAGAAGTTGAAGCAAATGAACTATATCTGCAAGACTGTACAGTTCATTAAAATTCAAAGTTCAAAAGAAAGCTTGTATCATTTGATTAACTTTGAAACCTTGAAAAAGACCACCTGCGAAGGCCTCACCTTCTTTCCCCTCTTTTGGGATTGGCTCCCTGCTGTGTTCTCCATATGAGGAACTCGCTTTATCTCCTTTAATTCAGAAGTGTTAGAGCTAATGAGACTCTTTGAGTGGATCATGCACTCCACACTCAGTTATTACTTCAGTGCTTTGTGGAATTACCCATCTGCCAGCAGGCCAGCAGCATATGGAATGAGGTGTAATTTAAGCTCAAATGTTTTTGAGGGATTGGTTACCGTTTGAGGTTCAGGAAGAGCTGAATACATATGAATGTGTTTGTATATATTTGAGTCATTTAAGTAGTGGCTATTTAAATGGGTAGCAATCAAATTAGTTGAATCATAAAACATATTAAATGTGTAGTGACTGATTTATAATTGGGTTGTTTTTGGTTATTAAATGCACCCTCTAGAGTTTATAGTGCATATAAGTAGCTTCAATTATTAAAGCTTTCGATAAAACAATATTTTCAAGGTCATTAGTCAGTTTATTTTGCAAATTTACCTGGACAAAAGCTGTTGCTTATAGCCTTTTAATTCATTTACCGATGAGTCTATTTTTGTTTTGTTTTTACATTTTAATTCAATTTAACAATGTTTTAATACTGGAATTTGTTTAAAACTTTTCTTAGATTATTCCAGGATTGTTATGTCTGTGGATGTTGGATAATCTAGTAGCGCTGTCAGGGTGGCATATTCTTGATCGTGTTTTTTTTTTTTTACTACAAATAGTACATATCTATATATTTCATTTCGTGATAAAACATACCAAAATTACTTGCAAGTGTAGAATGTTGTAGATTTTACTGTAGTTTTTAACAGTATTTTTGGTAAAGTTATACACAAATAAAATTAAAGTGAAATGTTATGTTTACATCATGAATACCTTAGTATCACAGAGTCACTAGTTTTTTTAATAGTATTAATTACTTTTGTTGCACAGGCATATTTTTTGGCATTAAATCTATTGTATGGCTCTTTATTATTGATTTTGTGCTACCATAAGTATATCAAAACTATAATGTTAGTTATGTACACTCACTGGCCACTTTATTAGGTACACCTGTCCAACTGCTCATTAGCGCAAATTTCTAATCAGCCAATCACATGGCAGCAACTCGATGCATTTAGGCGTTTAGACATGGTCAAGACGATCTGCTGCAGTTCAAATTGACCATCGGAATAGGGAAGAAAGGTGATTTAAGCGACTTTGAACATGACATGGTTGTCGGTGCCAGACAGGCTGGTCTGAATATTTCAGAAACTGATGATCTACTGGGATTTTTACGCACAGCCATCTCTAGAGTTTATAGAGAATGGCCTGAAAAAGAGAAAATATCCAGTGAGCGGCAGTTCTGTGGGTGCGAATGCCTTGTTGATGGCAGAGGTCAGAGGAGAATGGCCAGACTGGTTTGAGCTGACACACGTCGAACCTTGAGGTGGATGGGCTACAGCAGCAGAAGACCACACAGGGTGCCACTCTTGTCAGCTAAGAACAGCTAAATGAGATGGAATTTAGCACAGGCTCACCAAAATTGGACAATAGAAGATTGGAAAAACGTCTGGTCTGACGAGTCTCGATTTCTGTTGCCATTCAGATGGTAGGGTCAGAATTTGGCGTCAACAGCATGAAAGTATGGATTCATCCTGCTTTGTATCAACGGTTCAGGCTGGTGGTGGTGTTATGGTGTGGGGGATGTTTTCTTGGCACACTTTTGGCCCATTAGTACCAATTGAGCATCATGTCAATGTCACAGCCTTCCTCCGTATTGTTGCTGACTATGTCCATCCTTTTATGACCACAGTGTACCCATCTTCTGATACTTGAACAATGAGTTCACAGTACTCAAATGACCTCCAGTCACCAGCTCAATCCAATGGAGCACCTTTGGGATGTGGTGGAATGGGAGATTTGCATCATGAATGTGCAGTTATGATGCTATCATGTCAATATGGACTAAAATATCTGAGGAGTACCTTGATGAGTTTATGCCATAAAGGATTAAGGCAGTTCTGAAGGCAAAAGTGTGTCCAACCTGGTACTACAGTAGTAAGGTGTACCTAATAAAGTGGCCGGTGAGAGTACATTACTACTCTGTAAAAACAAATCTTGCTGCCTTATTTTTTTAGTTAAATCAAATGAACTTGTCTAGCTTGCATCCAACTATTAAGTTACATTTTGTACAACGTAAAAAAAAACAAAAAAAAACATGAAACCGGATTAGCTCATTTTAACAATAATGTAAAGTAGCAAAACATTTGTTTTCATCACTTTGCTTGATTTATTTTTACAGTGCAAGCATTATAGACTCAATTTAAAGACAACTTTCCTTGATGTTTAGTTATTTTTTTCTGATATCCCTACTGAAAAAACAACTTTAACCAGCCTAAGCTAGTTGGCTGCTTTTAGCTGGTTGACTAGTCTGGTTTTAGAGGGGTTGTGGCCACTTCCAGGCTGGTTTCCAGCAATTTCCAGACTCGTCTTAGCTGGTCAGGCTGGGAGATGACTAGGTAAAACCAGCTTGACCAGCCAGATTTAAGCTGAACTTAGCTGGTTTTGGCTGGGCTCCCAGCCTGGCTAGGCTGGTCAAGCTGGTTTAAGCTGGTCATCTCCCAGCCTGACCAGCTAAGACTAGTCTGGAAATTGCTGGAAACCAGTGGCCAAAACCACTTTAAAACCTGCCTGGCAGCTAAAACCAGGCTGGTTTAAGCAATTCTTTTCAGTAGGGATATTTACTAAAACTTGCCAAATCATAACAAAACATACATCAAAGTAACAAATTTATTCAACTTTCATGTGATGTATAAATCTCAATGTCTAGAAATTGACATTTAAAAAAAACATTTAAATTATAAAATTTAAACTTAAATAAAATTGATTTATTTTTACGTCTCGAGATCTGATCTCAGAGCATATTCATACTCTAGTTATGCTGGTTATTTTATGTTTTTATTTATAATGTGTCCCAGCTGGCATAACCCCCTTACTTCATATGTTCTCCCATTAGAGCTAGTAATATAGGCTACATAAAAAATTATTATTTTAAGATAATCATTTTGCTATAAGAACTCTTTCATATTTTTTGCTTCTGGCAAATGTGCTCTGGTACACCTTGCATGCTTTATGCACGTTTGTTTTTATGTCTGCAATGCTCTTGGGAAATGCAGAAGTCAGCGTGGCATTAAATCTAATTAATGGAGCTTCTTCAGGCTCACCAGATGACTTAAAACTCTTGTTTAGCTGTTTCTGGGGAAACTGATGTCGAATATTAGGCCTACTCTGTCTCCATCCCAAGATATTCTGTGAGACTATACGTAACTCAAGCTGGAGGCTATAGTTAACCTGTATAACACCCCAAAGCAACAGCATGAAGTCGTATATGGGATGAAGAGTGGTTGTCAGAGTCTTAAACACACACAAAAAAACTGTTTGTTATAACTTTTTTGCTTAGAAATTTGATATAGCGACACGTAGTGAGAGATCAGGTGTCCTAATTAGATTTACAAACACAAAGTCTGCTTTCAATGTGGTTTAAGATTTCAACTTAGGAATACTTCTATACGTTTTGAATTACAAGCCAAATAAAATATTAATGAGCCTTCAGTTTGTATCAGTTGCGCGCCTTTTAGTAACTATGGCAACCCAGTAGGCACCTTGTGACTTTCTCCTCATCCCTTAGCAAGTTTTATCCATCCTGAATTAAACTTTACTAGTACGTTAACGAACTGGGACTTGTTTTAGTACAATAATACAGTTTATAACTTGAAGAACTGATTCCAGCCACCAGAACGTTTTAACTTAACCTTCTTTTAGTTCCCAGAACGTTCTTTTAAGGTTTTTGGTTAGCCAAAATGAAAACAACATTAGCTTTAACGTTAGGTTGTAAAGTGTACACAAGACGATAATAATGTGCTTGAGGGGATAACTTTTAATATTAGACGACCTGTTTTAGTATGTTTGATGTTTTTATGTGATGATAACACTATTTTTTTACATAACACTAATAAGCAGCTTGATTTGAGCGATAAGAACTGGTAAAATTTACCATGACATACTATATATTTAGTCATTAAAACTAAAATATTCCTCGTAAAACATATTCTATATCACCTTTATAGTAAACAACCAGTTATTCGTGTCATTTAGATCAATCAATGTATCGGCTACGTCTTAAAAGATTAGTTTGCGCCCTACCTAGGCAGCATAATGGTGCGTCATGTATTTGTAGTGAAGCCCGTCAAGTAACTTATATCATTGTAGCGCGTACATGTAAAGTCCACTGCACTCGCCTACTGCATGCCGCTTTTACTCAAACTATTTTGCCAGTCATGACCCTGTGTATTGAGACACCACCTGTGTCAGTCAGCGCTACTGTGTCACCGTTGAGGTCGCTGTTATTCCAGTGGACTTCAGTCTGAAGCCGGACACACAGAGAGGAACGACAGCGGCTTTGGAAAAGGGAATATTCAGCATCGAGGAGGGAATCTGTCACCGCTAACCGGGACAGTCTGTCGCTCATCTGTCCTCAAAAGAAGCTGCTCTTACCGGATTTACACACAATGTGAGTGACTTCGCTTACTTTATTTATTGCTTGACTGCGCTTTGTGGCAACTAAAGGTGTTGTTAGGCGTAAGTTGTGTTTAATTGCTTCTACAGTGGCGCGCTAGCATGCTGCTAATGAATGTGTTCATTCAGTATGGTTACAGTGAATTTTGTTATGTCAATGTTTGCAATGTCATTTATTTTTGCAGAATTTTGTTTAAAACGCAGGGTTGTATGACAACGAGTTCGGTTAACAAACTACTAGGAATACATGTATATCAGCGATAGTTAAATTCATTCTTAATCTTGCTTTTGGTTGTGTTTAGTTTTTTTTCTTTGAGAGCTTTTTCTATGGTGTTTTGTAAGCTGCGTGTGTGTGTGACCAAAGTTTTCCAGAAAATTAGTTAAGGCAGGCAGTATGTCATGGAAACTCGACAGGATATCCTATGTGTGCAGTTATAACGAGTGTAACTTTCTTCTGAAGTTGTGGAAACCATTGACAGAGGTAACGTTAGTTATTTGGGTTCCAATCGTATGAATGATGGATGCTTTAAACGCTGAATTAGGTGACTGTAAACTGCCGTTTGTGCGCATGCGCGACTGCTCTGGTTAAACGTCGTAATGGTTCCACCTTTATAATCCCCCAAGGGTCATTCTACGAAATGTGTGTCGTTTAAAGCGATTTATACTTGCATTTATGCACACATACAGTATGCATGACATTAATGTGGCTATTGCAGCTAGCTTTTAAAATGATTTTGGTGAGAGCTTTAAAAATAAATAATAATAACAAAACTTTACATTGCAATTCATTCATTCATATATTCATTCATTCATTCATTCATTCATTCATTCATTCATTCATTGGCCACACTTCATTTTATGGTAAAACTCTTGCTATTAATAAATCATTAATTTTGACTTGTAGTTTGACAAACTTCTACTTTGCTGCTTATTAATAGTAAGGTTTTAGTTGGCTTTATGTGTTTGGTAGGGTTAGGGATGCAAAATATGTATTTTAAGTACTACCAAACAGTTAATATCTCATTAATATACAGGCAATAAGCCAGTTGTTAATAGTAAGAATTAGTACTTGAACTAAATTGTTACCTATTTCATATGTTGTTGCAATTTTGCAATAATCATTTAAGAGATATAGCCTTTAAAATATATTTGTAGAATTTTGGACTTATGTAAACAGAGCATCTTTAGGTGCCAAAAACTCATTTTGTTATCTTGTCATATTAGTGTCAAAAACTATATACTGTATAATATCCACCCCCCCCCCCCCCAAAAAAAAAAATAAATAAAAAAATTCAGATATGTGTGTGTGTGTGTGTGTGTGTGTATATTAGGGATGCAACGATTATACATTTTGGTTGTACGATTATAGTCATGGAAATAATCACGGTTTCACGGTTATCACAATTATTATGCATTTATTAATTTCAAGCCCCACCAGTTTAGAAAATAAGATAAAAACTCCTTTTGCTTTACAGTGTTATTTATTGCTGCTCAGTAGCTAATTAATAAAGCACAAAATAATATAAAAAACGAACAATAGTAAATTTCTCTCTTTGTGCTTAAAAATAAGTGAATGTTTTTGACATTTAAACAAAGAATTTTACACTGTAAATAAATGACAGAACAATAAATAAATAAAAGAAAGAATAAATAAAAAAATGTAGGAGCACCCACTAAAAATTAATAAACACCACTGCAACTTGTATATTAAGGGATTTATTGTATTTGAAAACAACATCAATTAGGACTAACAAAAACCACAAACAACTATCTAACTAATGCTGAGATGACTTATTGATATTTGCGCAATAACTTCAAAATGAATGTCTAATAATTCTAAAATATTATTGATGACGAAGATGACACTAATACTAACAATGAATGATTAACATTTCTCATTTTCTTGCTGCTTTGAATGTGAGAGTTATCTGCTATAAAAAGTCCTACTGTTACTTTATGATAAATAAATGTATGGTTTGCATCAAAAAAATTAAGCATTGCAGTAAGAAAAGTTTATTTTGCACTATTGTTTTATATGCTGGTTAATTTACAAACAGAAAGAATGGACAAAAGAAAGGAAGAAAAGTCTCACTTCTGCTCCTATTTAAAAGTTTTGGTTTCGGTTTGTTCATTGTAAATGCTTAGTCTCGTTATGCTCTGATTTTCATCACTCTGTGTGAAAAAAACAACAACAGTGAGTCAGCCGGCTCATACAAGCGGGGTAGAGCAGGATTCTGTAGATGACCACCAGTGCAGTACTGTTGTCATGAGCCGCAGTTTCAGTTTAAACTTAGTAAAGGCGAGCTTCTTTGGGCGATAATGTGTACATTGTTAGGTTTTACATTTAGCAGAAATTTGCGGTGAATGCAACGCATCAAGATTTAGGCCATTAAACAGCTGATCCAATCCAATTCTTTCAGCACTCTTTAAAATCACTCTGTTGATCTTGGCTGGTGATTTAACATTTACTACATGATCGCTCTTATCGGCGCCATTAATAATAACTAATAATAATAAAGCAAGAGCGCTGTACGTCGTGTGTGCGTCCCTCCAGTGGAAATAATGAACTTGCATGAGCTTGCCTTAGCCTCGGTCATAGTTAATCTAGTGTGCGTGGTTATTAGTCTCAGTGACAAACTAGCGCAGTTAAGTTTCAGCAGTGCAGAAACACGGTGTGACGAATTAAATCGCAGTTAATAGTGAACCCGGTTGCATCCCTAGTGTATATATTGTTTTCTTATTCAAACTGGATCTTGTTGATGCATTTTTCAATGCAGCAGGAAAAATGTATCTCACTTTCACTCAGAAAATCACACCTTCACTTCACAAAATGCATTTACTTGCACAAACTTTCACTTGCCGAGAAATATTTATGATGCTTAGCTTTTATATTTATGTTGACATTTGATCAACTATTTGCTTTATTCATATGCATTTATTCAAATTCCATTATTTTCAGCGTGGTTTGTAAAAATACAATAAAATGGGGTTCAAATTATATTTTAACGAGATTCTGTTCTTTTCACTATTGAAAATGGTGTATATTATGCAGTAATAATATGGCAAAACAATAGTAACATTCAAAATGAGTCTGCGATGAAAATGAGAATGAAAATGAGAATGAAGTCTGCTAGGTTGGACGATATTGGAAAATCCTATATATATATATATATATATATATATATATATATATATATAGTGTATTTGCTGTGTAATTAAAAACACCTAAAGTTACAAATGATGTCACATCTGATTAATGATCATTTGTGGAATGTTAATCCACCGTTTACTCTTTTCAGAGTGGATAAAAGACATTGAGTTTAAAGTCCGCCAAGATATATATATATATATCGATTGGGATGATTCTGTAGTGGAGTGCATCTCCATAAAATCTAATGCATTTAAAATCAAGTACATTATACATTTTCGAAGTGGTCTGTGCTATTTGCAGTGCATTTCTGCATGTGTTGTATTTTATTACATAACTATCTATAAATACAATCAAGAAAAATGTACTCTTGAAATAAAGTGTTTTATCATTTCCCTTGTCTAACAGTATTCAAGTACAGTAAAACAGGGCTCGAAATTAACCTTTTTTCTTGGTAGCACTGGTACTCCCAACTTTAAAAAGTTAGGAGCACCAGCCAAAATTTAGTCACACCCACCAATTATAAGCACCGTTACTACAAGTTTTAATGTTATATTAACCGACTTACTGCATTTGAAATAAACACTAAACAATCTAACAAAACGACATCTGCATGTGCCCACCAGCCCTGCATGCACTGCTTGACATGAATTAAACTTAGTTAACTTAGCAGTTCTCACGGGTGCTGTGTAATATTGCACAGATAAGACTGACATAATAGCTTATTATTTGCATACGTCATCTTAATAGCAATACGGTTTTTTTATGAGCTGCAATATTAGTTTTATCTTAATGAATGCAAGCCCTTTTGCGATTGTGTACGTGGTGTTACATTTTACATACAGCTGACAGCATCCTGTTGATTAAATGAAGAATTAAACAGAACCTCTTGTGCTAAAATGTGTAGATTTGACAAACGCTGTTACCTGCAAACTCAGTCCCAGCGGCTTTACGGTGAATGCTTTAGTCATTTTCATAGCGGACTTTAAACTGAATGTCTTTTATCCACTCTTTGAAAAGAGTAAACGGTGAATTAACATTCACCAAATGATCATTAATCAGATGTGTCATCATTTGTAACTTTAGGTGTTTTATAAAACTTAATCTGTCAGTGTTGTTTTCATCCTCTCATCTCCAGCCCTTAACATGTTTGCGGTTGTAGCTCTCCCTGTCATCTAAAGAAAGCCATCGAATGAGTGATTGGCAGCTGATATTAACCAATCCGTTCGCATTCAGTGCTAGAGCAGTGGGCCAATCAGAAGAGCTTAAAGGTGGAGCAAGCATTGTGGGCTTTGTTTACTGCAGCAAGTTGACATGACAACTGTTTTAAACCATTTATGCGCGCTTTGTCCAACCCAGGCTCATTCTGAAAACGTAGTCCAGCGGATGTTTCTGGAGACCGCGAAATACGTCACGGGAGGTACGTATTTGTGCAGTTATTGTTTTTGCGAATCCGCGAGAGGCCGCTGTGCGCGCTTTTTCGTATCTTGATCGTCTCTCGCGAGTGCCGTTTGCGCCCGCGCTGTTCTCGCGTCAACCGACCAGAGGCCACTGTCTGACTGACCGAATAATTGACCGCGCAACCGGCCAATCGGCTGACCCACCCTCCTCCTTCCCTGAACCCAACCAGTTTTACCTATTGATCCGCTCGCCCATTTACTTTCTTAAACCCGAGCAACAATTTAGAAAAGCCGTCTAGAAAAAGAAAAGCCCTCGTCTGTTTTTTTTTTTTTACCACGTTTTCGGATTTCACCGCATTCTCACCCTCAGTTATGAACTCGTTCGCTTTATTTTTTGGATTCTGTTTTTGTCTTACCTGGTTTCTGGAACCTCTCTTCCCCGGACTC